AAATGTTGTACAATTAAATATGGTCTGAAGTTTACGATTTTAGAAAATGTCTAAGAACTAGCTTTCCCAATCAGCTAGATTTTGATCATTTTATCCTTAAAATATTAATTTTGATATAGAAATATCGATTGATTTATAATTTTCCTGTTGTTTAATTGTTTTTTTTATAAGATTTAGAATAATACTCAAAAACCGAAAGCGTATAAAATTTTTTATTTAAACTTTGCACCATGCAATTCTTGTTATTAATCGTGCTTTTTGATGCTGCAATTGAAGTTACACTTGTGTTTCTCAGTATTGCACTGTCAAACACTTACTTTGTTGTTCTTTTGCTACATATGTATATAACTTAGTATCTATCTACTTAATATTATTCACAAATCAAGAAAATGAGGAGAAAGGTGAGCGTACGCCCCTTAACTTAGGCTGAACTTTGATTTAAATACATTTATTAATTGCTGTAGGTGGCAATTGTACTTTGCACATCGTTTGCTTCCGTTTTGTACATATGTACATATATCTGGGTTCAACTATCATTCCCGAAAGTCTAGATTTGAATTGCTGGGAAACCTTGGGAACCGAAAGGTTGGGTATAGTTTTTTCCAATGTTTATAGTATCAACAAAACCACGAGTAGTCAATGCCAAAAACAAAATGTGTCAAGAGAGAGCTCAATGAGTTAAACAAAAGTTATTCATTTTTGTAAGAGAGTTTTCTCTTTATTCAAAGAGTTTAAAAGCTTTCCAAAAGTTTGCAAACTAGTCTTACTCTCCGCATGAGAGAACAGTAGATCTCTCCGTTGACTAGGTCAATTTTTTCGACTGAATGCTAAAAATCCAGTGAACACCGCCTGATCTTTTGCTAACGGTGAAACTTAATTCAAAATGTCAACATTTTGTGAGCAAAGGCAAACAGAAGAGCAGAAAATTGAGCTGCCATAGATAATGAAATCAAAGAAAACGATACACAGAAAATATATGATATATCTAAATTGCCTTCCAATTTTCAAATTAAAAACAACGAAACTATTTTTTTTAAGATAAGATTTCAGATTTCTTTTATAATATTATTGATTATATTTCACATTTTTAAATATTTAAATGCAAAATATGTTTATATTGTATTCGTGCAAAAGTATGTAACAGCTAGAAGGAAGCGTTTCCGACCCTATAAAGTATATATATTCTTGATCAGGGTCACTAGCCGAGTCGATATAGCCATGTCCGTCTGTCCGTCTGTCTGTCCGTATGAACGCTGAGATCTCGGAAACTATAAAAGCTAGAAGATTGGCATTTTGCATGCAGATTCTAGGAGTTCCTACGTAGCGCAAGTTTGTTTGTCAAAAAGGTACCACGCCCCCTTTAACGCCCACAATCCCCTATATACGATTTTAAAAATTTAAATATTTCGGAAAAGTAAAAATGCAGTTTTATTGTGTTTATCAATACCCATCGAAATGTAGAAGAAATTTTTCAAATCGGACCATTCGTTAAAAAGTTATGCGTGATCAAAGTTTCTATCTCCATCTCCCTCGCACTCCCTTTATCTGAGTAACGGGTATCTGATAGTCGGGGCACCCGACTATAGCGTTATCTCTTGTTTCTAATATCAAGTTGAATCTTTTCTAAACATCAAAACACTGTTTTTTTTAAATAATAATTAACCATTTTTAAATAATCTCATTAAAACCAAAATGGAATATTTGTTTGTGTGTAATGATGCTAATGCATAAATAAACAATGTCAACTAGCGGTTAGTTTCAGTTACTGTCAACCAGAAGTATCAGTTTGCAAATGAAAACTTAGTTGTGTAAGCAATTATCAATTTTTTAACAAGTAATACGTTTTTGCACCGATGAATCAGATGGTCTGTGAGCGAAGCAAAAGCTTAAATGTAGGTTCGCCCTGCCCGTTAATACGTATTATTTATGCACTGCTTTTTGTGGTATTTTCCTGAATTTTTCACAACATTATTCATAATTTGCTGACATTTTTCATTTGCTATGGTCGGTTTTTTGGCTCTTTTTTTTAGACCCTCTAGGGTCCCGACATAAAGTCGTTGCTCTACGACTGGCTGATCCAGTGCAATGAACTCGGACTGCATGCATACGTTGAACTGCAGCCCTGGTTGAAACTTATCGAATGGCCCTTTATGGAGCATATTATACGATTCACTAATGTGGAGCACTCAAAACACCCGGGAACCGACATTAGGGTCTAGTTAGCATAATGCACACACACCGGAGGGGCGGCAAACCGAAATAACAATGAACACACGCAAAGCCATATACACATGGCGAAAGGAAAACACTGGGGCAGTTTTGAAAACATTTAACCGTTTCACCTCGCTGAACCGCGAGCACGAAAAAGCAAATTAAGCAAACGAATTAAAGCCCAAAACCCGTGGCAAAGTTTGTTTTGGGCCAAGTTTAAGCAGCCCGAAAAAAATAAACCCAAATATGAACTTTTATCTTTTTGTAACATTTCTCTGAAATTGGTAATCTGAATGTTGTTAGTTTATTTTAAATGCCTATTTCACCAGTTCACAAAATTTAGAGATGAAATCGGAATGGAAATTTGGGAAAAATTTAAACAGAAATGCCATGAAACCAATAAAAAATCTGGATAATAAAGGGAATAGTAAGAACATCACACAGATAGAAAACATGCAGATTCATTCACGCTAATTCTAAGTATATCATCCCATACTGATTGGAAAAACGTTAGTGCAATGATATTGCACATGTGCGATTATGAGTGTGCATAAAAAAGCGCAAAGTGCGGCCATAAAAAGCACAGTTAAACTGATTGGCAGCTGTAGGCATGACGGTGCGTCGCAGATAATGGGCTGGCAACCCTGGCTCCGAGATCTGCGGATCCAACAATGGAGCCGATTCTTTGTCGCTCCTCGTCCCGCTCGACCCATTCCGCTCCAGCTTTTCATAAAGCGCCCGGTCGCATTGAAATGTCACGCAAGCAATTTACATAAATGGAGTTGCTTCCGCTTGGAGAGCTGAAGAACGGAGAACGGGGAGCGTGGAGTGGACAACAATGAGTCGCATCCATGGTGAAAAGTATCTGAGTATCTGACAGTGAGTATCTGCGTATCCGAGCGCTGCTCACGTACGAAAACAACTGTTAGCAAGTGGCGAATGGCCGGGAAAAGGCACCAGCCGATAGCCATGAAGCGGAAGCAGACGAAGGAATCGAATCGATCAAACAATTTCCGAGCGACTCGTGTGCCGGGACTACACAGGGAAAAATATATACAAATTTAATATATTAGGAAATACATCCAAGAAATCAATAAATCAATTAAGATCTAGTTTTAGAGAAGTCCTTATTCTGTCAATACTTATCAATACAACTTATAGGTACAAGTAAAAAACATGGAATTTAAAGATTTTAGACTAACAATAACATATTATAATATTATATATTTTTGATTTCAAAATACTAAAAAAAACCTAGAAGTCTAACTTAAAACAATGTTGTAACTAATACAACATTTTCATATTTAATTCAATCAAAAACTAATTTATTTTAATCAATTTTGATAAAGTAAAGGTTGTGTTTTTTTGGCACAGTTAGACAGATCTCCTTTTGGGAAAGATTTTTTCATCTGCATAAATTTTAAGCTAGAGCATCTTCGTTGGGTTTCCCACTGACCAACTTCACGGTTAGTTAACACCTTAATTTGCCTACAAATTGTTCAAGTTTTGAATTTCTTTGGTCATGGTTGCGTCTTTCGGTTCCCCCATTTTTCGAGGGGAAGCTGAGAATTTTGTTGGGCAGATGAAAACTGAAAAACGGAAAACTCAATGCGTAGAGGCACGTGCTGGCCGCATTTACACCGTAGTTTTGTAAGAGGGAAAACGGCAATGAGTGGTAATAATTATTTCGATGTGCGTGTTGATTGCGAAAATGAAAAGGTGCTTTTATTATCGCCATTTCTGCGAAATATTTTGTAACGTTTATGTTGGAAAAATCAATTCGGCCGTGAAATTTCAACGAAAACGAAAAGCATGCTGTTTGCACCCCCAAAACTAAACATATTTTTGCGACGACGCAAAGAAGCCGGCACCCTGAAAATCAGATGGATTCGGAGTCCTAACCTCAACATAAAAGCGGAAAGCGAGGAAAAGAGACTTTTGGCAGGCAATGGCCATAAAACCTGGAAAAGCTGTTTGCAACATGGAGTGTTTTCATTTTTAGGGTGGGTTTTGGTGTATGAAATCATTTCCGTTTACGCTTTTCCCTCTGTCATAAGTGGGTGTGGTGCCGAAACACTTGTCGTGGTAAAAAAAAAATAATTAAGCCCGCCCCAGCAGCTGCAAAAATCGATATAATCGTGGGTCAACAGCGATTTATCTTGCCGGTTGTCAGGCGGTGTTTCTTTTCTTTGATTTCCATTTCCATTTTCCACTACTAAAAAACACTTTTGTCCTTTAAACACCTAATAATCGAGGAATGTCCGAATATTTTTGTTTGACAAATTAAATATCATATCTCTCAATAATTTGAAAATACTTTGAAAATCGGTTAAACTAAGTACGATTTCTTTGTCTTATATGTAAAAAATATATAAATAAAACAATGCGCAAATCAATAAAATCGTTGAGCTGCAGGGGATTATCGTGAAATGTCTTGCCTGTTGCCAGGCAGATTATGTGCTCCTTGATTTAAACCCTCTTACACCCCCCGAATCCTGATGACTAAGAATGATTTCGCTTTCCTTGCTGTCAAAGCGAAACACAATACAAAAGATGGGAAAACGCGTGCCGCCACCTTTCACTTTATTTGTTTGTCGGTTAAAAAAATGTATGTTAGGCAAATGAATGAGGAACCGACTGAATGAATGCCAAAGATGCTCCACCACGTAGGGTGGTTAACAATGACCGAAAGATAATGATATGTGTTGTATAGTAGACACCAGGCACCAGAGAGAGACGAAAGACCCGATCAGACGAATATTATATCGAAAGTTGCGAACAGTACGCACCTGCTTGGATTTGATTAAGATGCTGATGATGCTGCACTTACATATGTATATGTTTATGTGTATGCATATATATCAATTTGTGGGTAATTTGGTATAGCCCGGTTTTAGGTCTCGCCGATTTCCAGTTGACTTGGATCGTGGGCCCGAGGAAAGCACCGCTAATAAGCGAGGAAAGCGGACTTTTTCGTACCGGACCTGTTGTTGTTGTCGCCTCGAAACACTCGAAACAATTTGTTCTTCTCTTTTCTCCCAACACGTTATTGAATCTCTTTCACTGCGAACGAACTGGTTTTTTCAGTGCTTCGCCACTGTTTGCCAAATACACACACATCAAACACTTTTTCCAGGGTTCTCTTTCTTTTTATCTGCTTTTTATTATTTTTTGTGATTTTAACGATTAGCGTCTGGGCCTTAAGATCGAATTTGGGCCACTCCGCACAATTGGCTAATTAAACAGACGAGTTATTTAAGTATCCCTCGGACAATTATCGCCGCGAAGCGCTAGAAAATTTTCGGACCTCGCGCTGGAGAAATGGAAAAACAACAACTGCACCAGCTGAGCTCCAGTGTGACCATCTTAATCGTTAGAGGTGGGAAAGCATCGATAAGCGTATCATTAGAGTAAACTTATCGAGGGGTTGCGGCTTGCAACTCCAGAAATTTTAGTAGTGACTCAATCCATTTGGCTGAATTGGAATTTAGGCGGTATCTTTAAAAATGTAATTTTCAGAACTCATCGTCAAAAAAAAACATAGACTTTTAGATTCCATTACCGTTTATAGGTTATCAACAAAAGTCTTTAGCATGGTAATTGTACAAATTAATTTTTTTTAATGTGCTACGTATGCCTGAACGTGGATAAACGTTCACTGTGTTAGAATCATTTAGCAATCGGAGTAACTACAAGAACGAAAAAGAAAAGATATTGCGGTTAAAAGAAGAAAATAGTCTTACTTTACGGGGTGTAATAGAAAAAATGTATGAACAGGTTTATGTACAAAGTATATAGAGCTAAAACACAGACCGATCAAATCCAAATTCGTTTTGAAAACGAAAAGCCATCTTTTCACCCAAAAGAAAATCCGTAATACAAAAAAGGATGCGTTAAAATCCCACCCACGTTTGTATTTAAAAATAGACATATTTATTGGTAGTATTATCATTAATTTCAACCGCTGGGCAATTTGTTACGCTGCTCTGTGAGAGTCGCGACTTAACGTATCAGTAGACAAAAGTAACAGCAGATATAACGGAAGAGAAACGTACAAATTGGAATCGAAGTGTCCACAGAGAAGCTAGCATAGGGGTAAATAAATGGGGCTCGCCGCTTGGGGGATGGAGTGCGCCTAATTGATCGGCTGCGCCCGCGACATCCCAGCTGCGTCGTGGCCATGGCGAATCCGGGTCTGCCCGACCACCAGATCATCGTCGTCCTGGTCGTTGTTCTCCAGCTGCTTCTGGCGCTTCAGCCGCAGCTCGAACACCTCGCTAATGGCGTCGCGGAAGCAGATAAAGTTGTAGTCGATGACGCCCTGCCGGTTGAAGTTCTCCTCGCGCAGGATGCAGACCAGGGCCAGGAACTTGTTCACCTCCCGCAGGTAGAGTATAGTGTTGTTGTTCAGCTTGATGAGACTAGAGCTTCCGCTGTCGAAGGCGGTTTCTTCGGAGCTGCAAGGAACCAAAGTGTGTTATACTGGCATATCAATAAAGTTATCAAGCTTGCCTGTATATGCTGGACAAATCTATGACCACGTCAATCATGTCACAGCAAAGCTCGTATGTCTGCATGTCGACGGGCGAGGAGTCCGTGGCAATGTAGATCTTCGAAACCACATCGAACAAAAAGGCCTTTTCAATGCCGGAGTTCTGCAAGGGTTAAAGGATTAGCTAAGCAAAACAATAGCTAAAAACCCCAAACCGAACTCACTGGTATAAAGATGTTCAACAGGTTCTCTAGCGTGGGCAACTGGGGAATCAGCTTCTGAACCACCTTTGAGAAGGCCTCAAAAATCGAGTGGTCGTATATGGAGGTCAGATGGAAACTCAGGTGAATCTGATTGAGGCCCGCCTCGCTGAGGTCGTCCGACGATCGCTGATGGATGTCCCGCTGCGATTCCATTTTCGAGTCGTCGCTAATACCATCGACCTGGGAAGCAAGCAGGTGTCAATGTGCTGTCACCTCCGATAAGAGCTTAATTCATGGATATTACCTTGTGTATGAACACTTCGAACTTGATGCGCTGGTTCACCTTGTAGGCCTGCAGCACTGTGTTTTTGAACTTGGTCAGGGCCTCGTTGTAGTCATCCTTGGCGTCGATGACGAAGACCAAGGCTCCACAGCCGCCGAAGATCATGTCCGAGTCAAAGGTCGGCTCGAAAAAGTCTATCTGACCGGGGAAGTCCCAGATCTGGAACTGCACGAAGCTGGAGTTGTTGATGTCGTCCTTCACAATCTTGCTGGTGGACTCCAGGAAGAGCGTCTCATTCGGCGACATCTTGTGGAAGACCACCTTCTGGATGGAGCTCTTTCCCGACCTGCGCATTCCCATCAGAAGAATGCGCGGTTTTGTCTCGCTGCTGCCCGTCGCATTTGGCTCCAGTTCCAAGCCATCCTGGTTGTAAGCGCGATAGCCAAAGTCCTTGGGGAACGTGTCCGCCGGATAGTCATCGTCATCGTAGCTCTGCAAAGACGTGATTGGATGCAAATCAGGCGATTGCGATGGGCGGGGGCTACTGCGATATGGCTTCTTTGTCTACTCACCATGCTGGCGGAGTCGTTTGCCTTCCACTGGAATCTGCTTTTGGGGGTGGAGCCGGCTGTGTGTCAGCGAAGGTGTGCATGAAACGCACAGGTAATAGTTATAGCAGTCTGGATCCGTTTACTTTTTCTACTTTTCCTGCGGGTTTCTTATCGGAATCTCAATGTGTGCACACCTGCGGGCGGAACTCAGCTGTTACTATCGATAACAGTCAGCTGTGGGCGATAGTCAAGAGAATTGCAGTTTGGTCTCAATCAGTGATGGCAGCTTAGAAGTTTCCGTTAAAAGAAGTTTAAGCTTGAATTAAATTTGATTCTATTATTTAATCAAGTGGTATTATAATAAATTCTCGTATAATTTTAAAATGTTAATCGGAAACTTTGTTTTGTGAAATACTCTTGTTTAAATTTTATAGTGTTGCATTGGCAACATTTTTGAAACACAAAAATTTAAATCTAGGATTGTATGTTAATTTCAAAATGTACAGGTTTTATGGTAGTTTATTTGCTAAAAATTATACAATTTTTATTTAAATTGATGAAGTTGTCGATGTATGGTTAAAAAAAAAAAACTTGCTATTAGTCTTTCAATTTTGTTGCTTTGCAGTTTAATTTATTAAGATCTAATTTTTGTTTTTAGAAAGAAATCAATAATCGACACAAAAAATTTATCATTTAAAACAATTCAGTTGCTAAAATCGTTTAATCGTAAACAACTGGCTCACTGACAAGTAAAAAACGTACAATTAATCAATCTAAGACTACTGCGCGGCCAATTTGGCATCTAACTGGCCCATATCGACGCCCAGTTCCCTGAGCCGCTTCTCCTGCTCCTTGGTGTCCAGTCCATGCTCCTTGTTGTACTTGTAGTTTACCGTCAGTTGGACCTCCTCCAAGCCACTGACATGGTCGTACAGGTTTCCCTCCAGGCGCAGATCGATGTCGCTCTCCTCGCGCAGAGCGCAGAAATACAGGAGAAATACGGCCAAGCTGGCGGAGATCACGTATGGCTGGTACCACAGAGACTCTTCGCTACCACCGCTTCTGGTGTCCTTTGCCCTCCAAATGGCAGCCTCGCTGCCGAAGAACTTGATAGGCTCGTTGCTGACCACGTCCTCCTCCACTTTCTTGCTGGATCCTCGCTGATTCTTTGCATAGAAGCGGGATGCATGCGGAGTAGCGCCTGTATCTTGCACCAGTTGCCTGCGTAAACAAGCGATTATTACCCGTAATATTTTATGCCTTTATGTTTATAATAATTCACCGCAACACTCTTGTTTTTGTTAGTAAACGCAGCATTTTCAGTCCGGAACTCAAACAAATTTCATAACAAAATTGGTTAAACAGCTGACCGAACGGAGTTGGAGATGTGAGAAATGTACAGCCAGATATTGCCGGCAAGTAGCGAAACGATATATCGATGAAAATTCTGTGAATAAATAAAAATTATTTTTAATAATTTGAAATTGCTTAACAAAAAAGTAAATGTTTATTGATACAAAGTCATAATATAATCGGAAAATGGTTTTTACTTACAAGAGATATTTGTATACGATGATTTGACCACAAATTCTCCCACCACCAGCCGCACGCCACACGTGTGTTCGAATGGTAAACACGCGCTGGAGTTTTGATTAGTTTTTAGATGGAAAAAAAATGGGTGCAACCAAGAACCTGGACTTGATTGGCACCATCGAAGAAGATGCCGAAGTAGAGAACCTGTCGGAGGACTCCGATGCGGAAGTGGAGGTGGGAAAATCATACATTTAAGTCAAAATCAAAACTGAATATGAGGCTTTTCACAGTACCAACCCACCAAACTGAGGCACAAGAAGGTGACAGAGTTTGAAAAAGGCTTTGAGTTCGTGTCCTCGGTAAAGGAGTACAACAAAGACACCTGGGACGATCTGATGAAGTATGTGAAGAGGAAGGCGCGCACAAAGACGGACGACAAGATCGCCGCGCGTTTGCAGAAGAGAGGTGGCGCCGACGCAGTTGCCGCCGAGCAGAGCGATGGGAGTGAGATAGATCTTTCCGAGGACGAACTGAAGCACGACAACCTGCGGCTACGGGAGAAAAAACAGTCGAAAAACAAGAAGAAGAAGGCCGGCGAGGAAGAAGAGGAGGAGGAGGGCGAAAAGATGCAGTTTGACGACACAGTGGAAGCCGACGGCCAGATAACCTCCTTCTACCAGATGAATCTGTCGCGTCCCCTGATGCGTGCCATCGGAGTGCTGGGCTACATCTATCCCACACCCATTCAGGCCTCCACGATTCCGGTGGCTCTCCTCGGTCGTGATATCTGTGGCTGCGCCGCCACGGGAACGGGAAAGACGGCAGCCTATATGCTGCCAACCCTAGAACGTTTGCTGTATCGACCTCTGAACAACAAGGCAATAACCAGGGTACTGGTTCTAGTGCCCACCCGTGAGCTGGGCGCCCAGGTCTACCAGGTGACCAAGCAGTTGTGTCAGTTTACCAGCATAGATGTGGGCCTGGCCATCGGTGGCTTGGATGTTAAGGCCCAGGAGGCGGTTCTGCGCCAGAATCCCGACATTGTTATTGCCACGCCAGGCCGTCTCATTGATCACATTAAAAACACGCCCAGTTTTACTTTGGATTCCATTGAGGTGAGCGAATTGAAAGCATTTACTTTAATATTTTATTTATGATGATTCTCAATCCTTGCGCTCTGAGCTTTTTCCAGAGCTAAGATGAAAACTTTGGTTCTTGTTTCTGCTCGGCAGATCCAAGCTGATCTTTAAGTTGTTTGCAGTTTTATCCCACATGTTCTACTCCATTAAATGACTTTTATCTAAATCTTCATCAGGTTCTCATTCTGGACGAGGCAGATCGTATGCTAGACGAGTACTTCGCCGAACAGATGAAGGAGATCATCAACTCCTGCTGTAAAACACGTCAGACCATGTTGTTTTCCGCCACAATGAGCGAGCAGGTCAAAGATCTGGCAGCCGTTTCGCTAGACAAGCCTATAAAAGTGTTCGTGAACAACAACCAGCAGGTTGCCTTTAATCTGCGCCAGGAATTCATTCGCATACGTGAGGATAAGGAGGGCGATCGAGAGCCCATTCTGGCTAGTTTGATTTGCCGCACTTTCCATGACCACTGCATGGTGTTTGTGCAAACCAAGAAGCAAGCCCATCGGCTGCACATTTTGCTAGGTCTCCTGGGTGTTAAAGCTGGTGAACTGCACGGCAATCTTACCCAGCAACAGCGTCTGGAGTCGCTCAAAAAATTTAAGGAAGAGCAGATCGATGTGCTAATCGCCACCGATGTGGCTGCTCGTGGTCTGGATATTGTGGGCGTGAAGACTGTCATTAACTTTGTGATGCCCATCACCACAGAGCACTACATCCATCGTGTTGGTCGTACCGCTCGTGCTGGACGTGCTGGTATCTCCGTTTCGCTCGCCGGCGAAAAGGAACGTAAGATAGTGAAGGACATCATCAAGAATGCCGAGAGCACCATCAAGAATCGTATTATTCCGCCGGAGATTATTGAAAAGTACCGAAACAAGCTTACGGGTCTGGAGCCGGAGATTCGTAAGTACTCTAGAATATATATTTAGTGGATTTCAGATGGTAATTGTTTTTTTTTCGTTTTAGAAAACATTCTGGACGAGGAGCAGGCTGAACGGCAGCTAGCCAAAACTGAGCAACAGTTATCCAAAACGGAGCGCAAGCTTCTAGGCCAGCCCAAGGAGCGTCGTGACTGGTTCCAGACGAAGCAGCAGCGCGAGGCTGAGAAAGACCGCCTGGCTTTGACCACTGGCGAAGAGGAGAAGCCAGCTGGCGGGAAGGGCAAGGGCAAAACAGCTGGAAAGCGTAAGCGACCTGAGTACGGAGGTGATGGCGAAGATGGACCGCCGGTCAAGGAACTAGAAGCAAAGCGCCACAAGAAAAAGAAGGAGGAGCCGCGGAAGAAAACGCCCGAGCAGCTGGCTAAGGAGCGGGCAATGAAGGAAATTGAGAAAGTTTCCCTGGTGCGGGCCAAGATAGCCAAGATGCGCAAGCGTCCGGGCAAACTGGGAGCAGCTACAGAGGCCCACAAGGGCGGTGCCTCCGACAGCAAACCAAAGCGACGCGGAGCCCAATCGGCGTTTACTAACGATTTGACCGATGTTAGTCGTGGAGGTGCACTGCGGTTAAGGTGAGAGGGTGAATGTTTGCTTTTTTGAACTGCTTTAATTTCATTGCATTCTCTTTTAGATCCGAAGCCAATCGGCACAAGAAGATGACCAAGATTGCGGCCAAGAAGAAGGTTAGCAGCGTAAAGCTCACAAACAAGGCGGGAAAGAATAAGTTCAACAAGGGAAAGAGTTTCGGCGGACCACGATACGCCAAAAAAGATAAAAAGAAGTAGAAATACAAAAATAGTTGTATGCAATGTTAAATCGTAAACTTGTAAAATAAAACTTTTACTTCCTTAAGGCCTTGGATTGTTTAAAATACATTTCATAAATGGTTCTTCCCATATCTGCAATCTTACCCTTAAAATATTTTTTGACCATAAAAAATATTCCCAATAAAAAAATAGTTCACTGCTCAATTTTGGACATCTAAATTTGTATTGTTTAAAAAGCGCGCCAATGAGTTATCGGTACCAATCGATAGAGCTTGAAGCTCAAAACAGAACCATCACCAATTTTGCTTTGCGATTTTCTTCCTTTTGCATTTTTTTTTCAATTTCGGCCACAACAATGTGCTCGGACTCCTAAATTTGCGTTTATCCCAACCAGAGTAAGATGAGCAGCCAGTGCACCTACGGTCCTCCCCGGGATTCTGACTCAGACAGCAGCTATGATGGCTTTTACTTCTCGGATGAGGTGAGTGCTCCTTTGGGTAGCTACATGAATCCTCCTTAGTTGCCACTTTTTTCCCCTCCAGATAAAACGCTCAAAACCCGCTCCCTATGTACATCCCGAGCAAAAGCTCTACAATGCTGCGCTTGACGGGGATCTGCAGATGGTGCTGGAGGAGATGCGCAGACTCATCTTCCATGTGGATCAGAACGTGCGGGGTGGTCCCAGCCTGCTGATGATCGCCTGTCGAGAAGGACACTACGACATGGTTGATTGGCTGGTGGAGAAGGCGAAGGCCAACGTTAACAAGCAATATGACTCCGTAATGCCGCTAATGGCGGCCTGCGATTGCAATCACAAGGATCCCTATTTGGCAGAGAAAATAGTGCGCCTGCTCCTGCTTCACGGAGCAGTGGTCAATGTGTCCGACAAATTCGGAATGACACCCTTTATGTTTGCCTGCCAGAACGGATTCACCGGCGTTGTGCGTCTCCTGATCAAGGACGTTAGCTTCGATGCTGTCGATAATCAGGGGTGCACGCCCATCTTCCATGCCATTGAAAAGAATCACGTGGACGTGGTGAAGATGCTGGTGGAGGCGGGCGTAAATGCCACGATAGCTAACAACAAGGGATACACGCCAACTCAGGTGGCAGAGTGCCATGGCTACTACGATCTGCTGGAAATCCTGCCGCACCCACCCTCCACCTATCTGGTGCCCACCCACTTCCTTGGCTACAACACGCTGAGAGATCACATTCCACGTATTTTCTTAAAAAGCGACTGCCCAGAGTATTTCCAGGAGTTGAACGGCATCCTGCAGTCCATCAATGTGGGAAATATGGTGCAGCACTTTGCCATCGCGCGGATCTCGCTGGCCGAGTTCCTGGTCATGGATGAGCAGTCACTCCGGGAGGTGGGCATCGAATATCCCATCTATCGCAACAAGATCTTGAAGGGCATTCTTGAGTAAGCAGATTATAATGGTTATAAAATCCTTCTTATGTATGACAAGGAATTGTTCCCTTCTTGCAGCTTCCACCTCCATCATTGGTCCAACAAGTCGATAGCTCGACTCAAACAGGATGGCATGGATAAGTGGGTGAGACATATATTACAGTAGAATCCCAGTTAACTCTTCAAATCCCTTTCAGCTTCTATGAGATTCTGATGATTGCCGCTAATCACCTGCAGCAGTTGATCATAATTCAGGCCTCCTTGCGATTCGTCTTAAAGAATCAAGAGGAAAACCAGTTGGGACATCTATCGGAGACACAGTTGGCCACTATTAAGAGCAATCTTCAGGGATATCGCGACGTGCTCAGCCAAACAACAAAGACCGTTAAATATGTAAGGTTTGAATAGCATACATGCAGAATCTATTCAGAATCGTATTCATTATTTTTACAGCTTGGTTCATTCAGCCCCACCCAGAATCCACTGTTCATAGATTTTAACGAAATTCTGGCCGAACGAAAGCGCAAGAAGGTGCGCAACTACTTTAAGTACACCACAATTATCCTCGGAATCTCAGTTTTCATTTGCCTAAAGTGCAAGTGGTTCTCATAGTATTCCTAGCAGAACATTCTCATTGCTAATTTAAATTTTGCTGTACAAATAACCTTTTTTTACCCAATGTTTATTGGTTTTTGCAAATCAAAATAGTTGTTGTTCAAACAATGGTGTTTAGTTAAACTAAAAGTTCATATGAATCGAAATTTATCAAGTGTTATCTGAAGCTTAAGAGTTTATCTGGATGTTGAGAAACGTGTATTCTCAAATCACATAACAAATGTGGAAAAGAATCCATATATTTATGAGAAAATTTAATTTTGAAAAAAGAAATGGATGAAATCTTACCTGAAACTCATAAATTTACCTGAACATAAATATGAGCGAATGTAAACTGAAGTTAATGACGAAAACCACAATAACGACTAAAGTTATAACGAATGTAACCACACCAACAAATAATATTAGTATTAAGCTATTAATAAACGAATTGTTATCACCATGTTATCATTTTATAATTTAATTTTCAGTTTTAAAAGTTTTGAGCATTTTTTATAAATTTCCGAAAAGCACTTTGAAGAATTTAAAGAAAATGTTTTTTATATAGTATTTTTGAATCCGTTATCATACCCTTGCAGACGGTTATAAAGATTTAGTTAGAGGTTGGCGAAGCCTGGGGCAGTTCTGACCACATATGTTATTTATTTGGATAATCAGCAGAGTTGATTTAGCCATTTTCGTCTGCCCGTTTCTACACAAACTAGTATCCAGATTTTAAGGTAACTAGATAAAACATTTCAAAAAAACTTATTTTAGCGGGTAGTTTAAATGCATGTCAGAACTGCAGAGATCGGACGACTGTATCATACAATTGGAGGAAAATACGATAAATTAAAATGAATATATATATTTAAAAATGGTAAATTGTCACTTTAAAAACCAAATTCCAGCTAACTAGGAAAGGAAAATACGAGTGAACAGTAGTAGGAATTAAGCCGGGTAGTCAAATGATTTTAATTTCCCGAGTTGGCGGGAACCGATATCAGGAGGCGTAATTAATCGAAAATGCATAGATAGACCGATATAGTCGATTCAGCTATAGTTCTAAACACATAAACAGAACATCGAATTAATTGCTTGCACTGAAGTTTCGCGCCATGTCGGTTGATTTGGAGCCGGGCGTCATCCGGAAGCTGGACGAGGTGGTGGTAAACCGCATAGCCGCCGGCGAGATCATCCAGCGACCCGCCAACGCCTTAAAAGAGCTTCTCGAGAACAGTTTGGACGCCCAATCGAGTCACATTCAAGTGCAGGTCAAGGCCGGCGGCTTGAAGCTACTCCAGATCCAGGACAATGGCACAGGAATACGGCGCGAGGATCTGGCCATCGTTTGCGAGCGCTTCACCACCTCCAAGCTGGCTCGCTTCGAGGACTTGGCCCAGATAGCCACGTTTGGCTTCAGGGGAGAGGCCTTGGCCAGCATCAGTCACGTAGCACATTTAAGCATCCAGACCAAGACGGCGAAGGAGAAGTGCGGCTACAAGGCAACCTACGCGGACGGCAAGCTGCAGGGACACCCGAAGCCCTGTGCCGGAAACCAGGGCACCATCATCTGCATCGAGGATCTGTTCTACAACATGCCTCAAAGGAGACAGGCGCTCCGCTCGCCGGCCGAGGAGTTTCAGCGGCTGTCCGATGTTCTGGCCCGGTATGCTGTCCACAATCCCCGTGTGGGATTCACGCTCCGCAAGCAGGGTGAGGCACAACCAGCTCTGAGGACTCCGGTGTCCAGTTCGCGGTCCGAAAACATACGTATTATCTACGGATCAGCCATTTCCAAGGAGCTTCTGGAGTTCAGCCACCGGGATGAGGTTTTTAAGTTCGAGGCCAACTGCCTGATCACCCAGGTCAACTATTCGGCAAAAAAGAGCCATATGCTGCTATTCATCAACCAGCGGCTAGTTGAGTCACCAGGTGAGTGATCTTGTAGTTCTTTCTTTAGACAGACAGATTATTCATCCTGACCTCCCAGCTCTCAAGACCGCCGTGGACTCTGTGTATGCCACCTACCTGCCACGTGGTCACCATCCCTTCATCTACATGAGCCTCACACTCCCGCCTCAGAATCTGGATGTGAACGTCCACCCCACCAAGCACGAGGTGCACTTCCTCTACCAGGATGAGATTGTAGAGCGGCTCAAACAGCAGGTGGAAGCCCGTCTCCTGGGCAGCAATTCCACCAGGACATTTTACAAACAGCTGCGGCTGCCAGGAGCTCCAAATCTGGATGAAACCCAGTCGGGGGATAAAACCCAGCGCATCTATCCAAAGGAAATGGTGCGCACCGATGCCAACGAGCAGAAGTTGGATAAGTTCCTGGCCCCTTTGACGAAGACTGACTCTGGTGTGTCCTCCAGTTCCTCTCAGGAGGCTCTTCCCTTGCCAGAGGAAAGTTTTCGGGTCACTGCGGCAAAGAAATCCCGAGAAGTGCGTCTCAGCAGCGTGTTGGACATGAGACAGCGGGTAGAGAGGCAGTGCAGCGTCCAGTTGAGAAGCACTTTAAAAAACCTGGTATTTGTGGGATGTGTAGACGAACGGCGAGCATTATTCCAACATGAAACCCACCTTTATCTCTGTAACACCCGGTCTTTTAGTGAGGAACTCTTCTACCAGCGGCTGATCTACCAGTTCCAGAACTGTTCAGAGATCACAATGAATCCTCCGCTCCCTGTCAAGGAACTCCTGATGCTTTCGCTGGATAGCGAGGCCGCCGGCTGGACGTCCGAGGATGGGGATAAAACTGATCTGTCGGTCAGTGCTGCGGAGATCCTTCTGAAAAAGGCGCCTATAATGCGTGAATATTTCGGGCTGCGCATCTCAGAGGAGGGGCAGCTCGAATCCCTGCCCAGTTTGATTCCTCAGCATCGACCTAACGTCGCTCACCTTCCAGTTTATATGCTCCGCTTGGCCACCGAAGTGGATTGGGAACAAGAGGCTCGTTGTTTCGAGACTTTCTGCAGGGAAACTGCTCGCTTTTACTCGCAAATCGTTTGGGGGGAAGGTTCGGCTGCGGGACATCCCAGGTGGACCATTGAGCATGTTCTATTTCCGGCGTTTAAAAAGTATTTACTACCACCACCACGTCTCAAGGATCAAATCTACGAGCTAACCAATTTGCCCACACTATACAAGGTCTTTGAAAGATGTTAGACGGTTTTTTTAAACAATGCTTTAATCGATTTTTTAAGAATAAATGTAACGTATGCTTTAGAAATTAGGATCACAACAGAATCAACTCCGTTTCTGATTTTGGTTTATTTTTGGTTTAGGAATAACTATAGTTCAAGCAATCCCAATTTTGTATTACTATCTAGCTGTCAGTGAATATTTTCATTATGTAATAAAATAGTATATGCATATGATCTCCTGGATCATAAAACTAGCAAGGTAAATAATGAAATATTAAAATAATAATAATAATACAAATAATGACCTACTCAGGGAGTCTAGGACTAAGTATTTAGATCCGGTTGACGGAGGCGTGTTACTCTCTCGGCATTCTTTACATGCTCCTTCAAAAGCTCCATGATCTCCGTGTCGTACTCCTTGGGCGTGGGCTTCACATCGGTGGCCCAGTAGTAGATGTCCCAATCATTACTCACACCGTTAATTAATTGATCATACTGAGCCGTCTGCTCAGCGCTAAAGTTTTGGAGGTGCTTGGCCGCAAAGGTGCTGAGTAGCAGATCGTTCTCCAGCATTCCGCGCTTGCGAGATTGATACAAAAGTCTGGAGGCGATTAGGAAAGCGAATTATTGTCTTCTGATAATTCGACAGGTTTCAAAGATATCAAATACGTTTAAGGTATTGCAAATAAATTTAAAATGTCTGAATAATTTAAAGCAGAATTTAAATATCTATAGGTTTACTTATCAATAAGGACTTAGTATGGTTAATTAAAATGCATCTTAACAGCTTCACTCCTGTGAAGCTATTTTCAGCTATATTTAAATAATATTAAACGTATTGCTCTAATGAATAGATCTTAATTTGTACCCACCGCTGCTTTCGAATGTCCAACGGCTCATTGGGACGCATAGGATACTCCGGCAACGGAAGATAATCCGGATCTTCGTAGTCCACAATCACATCCCCAAAAGTGCTGGACAGCGGCGGCGGCGGAGGATCTTTCATATTCGAAGCTGACCGGCGCCACGGAAGGAATATCCATCCTGAAATATCCATTGTCATCTGGCCATTGCAAAAATATAAATAGAAATAGTGAGAAAACTGCATAGATGTGCATTCTTATGCAACCGTTTTAAGCAAGTTCCAAGAGCTTACCCTTAGTTGGCGCAGCATTTTAAAGCCAAGCACCGCCTTATAAAATTTTTGATTTTTACTTCTCCGAGTTTTTCGTTTTTAGATTGGATTTTGAACAATTTGAAAAATCAAAATATTGTGACAACTGCCGGCTAGGCGACTTGTGACTAAAACACGACAAAATGCGTTGCCCTTTCATCGCGGTTGTTAGTAAAGTTTTACACCTGATTTGGTTTTAATCTTGAAGTCACATATTTTTGGGGTTTAGTTTGTGATTGTAATCTTACTTTGTAATTGTAAATAAACAGTTGTAGGTCAACTGAGATCAGCCAATAATTAAAAAAAAAATAATTTCCTACGTTTTATATGCTTTGTTTATATTGATTTGTCTCTGAATACTTGTCCCACCATAAAATGGAAACATTATTGTTTTATGATCGAACAAAATTAGGCTTACTGTAAATCTGTCGTAGTCGAAATTTGAAAACAATTTGGTCGGAATCAGGGTCCTTAGCTTAAAACACACATGCTTGTTAGACGATTGTTTTTTTAATTTTATGATACCAACAGTCTTTATAACAGATCAAATTTTTTTGGCGAACTCTGGCACTGTGCTTCAACACACTGTTATGTTACGATATTTTACTTACAGAAATGTTAAGTTAAACAGTGACAGAGAGAAGCGATACTTGTGTGACCGTGGTGGCAACCAAGAAAAATACCTAGAAAATATGAAATGTACTAAACGGGAAAAATTATGGTGGTGTTCGGTGCTACATCAAGGAAAATCTCGCCAGCAGAAATCGGAAATTTTTTGAAACGAGCGGTTGTGCCGCGCTGCTGTGTAAGAAATCAAAAAAAAATCTGAAATTTACGTCGATTTGGGTAAACAGCCGGCAAAAATATTATGAGTTAATACTTGTGTTATTCCATCGCGATTCGCGGATAAATAAAGAGGGGCCCACGGCATGTGGATTTAAGAAGTGAATTTAAGTGCGGTGTCTTTATGCAGCGAATTCTTAGCGCGCATAATGTAAACAAATAAAATGAATGTTTCAACGGAAATCTGAGTAAAAAAGTTACCTGTTTTGTGGATTGCCTTGCCACCCCCGGTTTACGCGTGTGTTGGTGTGTGTGTGCCTCTGTGTAAGTGTTGTGTTGTTTTTGTGTGAAAGGAAAACGAAACGGAAGGCTAAACAACAACAACAACAAGAAGAGCAGTGTGTGTGAGAAGAGCGGCCAGCGGCAAAATGCCGGTGACAGCGAATTCGTGGGTGTTGTTGCTGTTGTTATTGGTCGCTGTGGAGAGATGCAGCAGCAACAGCAGTGGGCGCATCAATAGAAGCAGGAGCAGCGGCTATAGGAAAACCCAATGGCAGGAGCAACAGGAGCTCGCCACTTTACGTCCCCTACCAGAAAGAGGTACGTGTGCTATCTCTTACCCGCCAGCATCTTTGGCTCTCTCCGCTCTCTGCACCTCTTTCCTCTCGCTCGCTCGCATCTTAATTGTTGTTAATCTGCGGTGCATTAACCTGACCCCCTCCCCCCCATCGTTCTACCTCACTATCTCGTCCTCAGGCTGTGCCAAAAATAACAACTGCTCTGTCTATGTCTGTCTCTTTTTCTTTCTGTTTTTTCTTTGGTTTTTTGTGTGTCTGTGTGTCACCCCTCCCCCACAAGCCTTCATTCACTTTGTTATGCAAATTTCTTGGTTTCCTTTCCACGCTCTCAAAAATGCCGCAAAACAAATGAAAAATAGAAAGAAAAACAAGTGCATATGCAAAACATTTTTGTCGCTTTTTTTGCGGGTTCGCGTGGAATTTTCACGCAACAAGAATTAAATAAAAATATTTGTGCACCATGGAAAGATGCAGGGCCCGAGGACAAAAACATGAAGCGAGTTAAGTCAAAATGTATTCCATCTCATAAATGTTTTCAATTTTAGAATTGAAATTCCGTAATCTCATAAATTAATACAAAAAAACGTCTTAAAAAATGTAAATGAAATATTTTTTCTGATAAGAAGTATAGTTTATTTGTCATAGGAGTTTAAAATTTTGAAGGCCTTTTTCTTTAAAGTGTTTGTAGAAAATAAACGGAAACAATAAAAAATAGTACTAAAAAGTAATAGATAATAAATTGAAAATAATGTTTTGAAAATTATCAAACTGTCACGAAAACATGATTTGTAAATACTGTGAAACAAACCAATTGTTGATTAATTACTTGAAAACAAGAAATGAATTTACTGCTCGCATTTGTTTTTATACCCTTGCAGAGGGTATTATAATTTTGGTCAAAAGTGTGCAACGCAGTGAAGGAGACATCTCCGACCCTATAAAGTATATATATTCTTGATCAGGATCACCTCCTGAGTTGATATAGCCATGTCCGTCTGTCCGTCTGTCTGTCCGTCTGTCTGTTTCTACGCAAACTAGTCTCTCAGTTTTAAAGCTATCGAGTTGAAACTTTGCACACAGCCTTCTTTCCTTTGCACGCAGTATATATGTCGGAATGGCCGGGATCGGCCGACTATATCCTATAGCTGCCATATAACTGATTGATCGGAAATGCCATAACTTTGGTGTTTGTAAAGTTAGGAAGTTGGAATTTGCTATGGGTTTTATATTTGGCCAATCAATCCGACCTACCAAATTTCATAAGGATCGGCCGACTATATCTTATAGCTGCCATATAACTGATTGATCGGAAATGCCATAACTTTGGTGTTTGTAAAGTTAGGAGATTGGGATTTTCTATCGGTTTTATATTTGGCCAATCAATCCGACCTACCAAATTTCATAAGGATCGGCCGACTATATCCTATAGCCGCCATATAACTGATTGATCTGAAATGCCATAACTTTGGTGTTTGTAAAGTTAGAAAGTTGGGATTTTCTATGGGTTTTATATTTGGCCAATTAATCCGACCTACCAAATTTCATAAGATTATATCCTATAGCTGCCATATAACTGAACGATTGGAAATGCTATAACTTTGGTGTTTTTAAAGTTAGGAAGTTGGGATTTTTTATGAGTATTAAGAATGCATCATATGAATAATTTTGGAGAATATAATTTACAGAGTATTCTGCAAGGGTATATCAACTTCGGCTCCGCCCGAAGTTAGCTTTCCTTTCTTGTTTATAACAAATAAAGTTATTTTTAACATGGAAAATTTGCTCAGCGACAACGAATACATTTTAATAAATTATGTACATTCTTACAATGGAGTTCTTGACTGTGGGCGCATTATGCATGCACATGATCCATGACCCGAGGGGTCCAAAAGTCTCGGCACAAAGGCCACCGGTCGCCCTCTCTATCTCGTTAAGATACAGATAACGAGGGACGCGTAAAAGTAAATAAAATTAAAGTAAGCATTTCCTCATTTGAGGCGAAGCGACGCCACAACTTTGTCACAATTTAAGTCAGCAAAATGCACAGAAGGCACCGAAATCAATCAAATAAATTGTCTGTCTGACAATCCCAACAAGTCAACGGGGGACGAAGTAAAGAACAAAGTTGGACATTGGCGGCAATTATTCATTTATTAAGATTATTCACTTATTTCGCATTTTCTTCAAGTGTTATATGTTTTCAGCCTAACGAAGGTCACAATCTTTTTTCTTCAATTGGAAGACAAATAAATAGATACTTGGGTGTTTCGAAATATTGAAAGCCTATCTAGATATAAGTCCAGTTAATTAATAAGAATGCAATGAAAACCTTTTTTGTTTGTATCGTATTTCCAAGGTCGTTCACATGCCATATAACAAATCGCATAATTAAAGCAATTTTCATATTGTTAATCGAGAAAAAAGTGGAATAAAGTCACTTTAAAGATTGACTTTTATGATAAATTTTTTTGATTTATAATTTCTCTTTTATAATTAATTTCATTATTGTTGTCAGATAAGCTATTTAGTAGTATAGGATTTCGGAGGCATTAGAAGTATATTTAGTTTCAGTCAAAAATTTGCAAAGCAGCAAAGAAGACATTTCCGACATTTATATTCCTGATCAGCATTATTAGGAGAGTCGATTTATCCGTCTGTTATTTTCTACATAATCTTGATCTCGAAAAAACTCCAAGACAAAGTGTTTATTTTAGATTTTCAGAATTGCTGATGGTTGCTCATATTGGCGCTATGACAACATTCAAAAATTTTATCGAAAAATTTTTAAATATAAACGCTTAAAAATGGAAACATTTTAAAGAATATTTAATTTTTATATAAGCTAAAAGAGTGTATATATTCGGCAAGCCGAAGTTTGCTTATATTGTTTTTTATTCATTACAGTTTCTGTGATTTTGACAGCCATGTATTAATAATTAAATAACTATATAAGAAGGTAAATCGAGTTGGATGTTTTTTCTCTAATGAATCTTCGCTCTTTTTCTGGCTGGAACCGCTCAACAGCTCAGCAGTTTTCAACGGAGCGACAATTTGCGAACCCTGCACAAATTTGTGTAGCCAACTGAAGTGTTTCGCAGTAAGCGTTCCGCCCCCGCGGGTCAACGGGATCTGGGGCAGAAGCAGGAGCAGGAGTAGAAGCAGGAGAGCGGTGAAGGTTGGGCCTGCAACCCTACAGTAAACCCTCCCTTTTACCGGCCTGCCTTTTCTGTCTCGGCCATCCTGGGCTGGCGGAAATATTGCGGAAATCGTTTATCATGTCGCCAATGGCTCTGTTTTAATAATTGCTGTCCGCGTTAAACGGACGGGGTGGAAAAGAGGAGGAAACCGGAAAGAAAAGTGGGAGTGGCACGCCTCATTTGTGTATATGAATGGTTAGCAGAAGATGCGCTGAAAGCACATCAATTGGCACTTGCGATATATTCATGACTGCACCTATCCTCCGTTTATTCGAGGTCCACTTACATGGATCAGTTCATGAATGCTAAATTAATTAACTAAACTTGCGAATGAATGCAAAAAGTAAATATCCTAATCCACTATGTGGTTCCCCTTAATTGGTTTGTCTACAATTTCCACGTCCAAATATTATAGGTAAATTAATATATTTTGCAAAGAAAAAATGTTTGTTTTTGATTCTAAAACACTTTTAGTTTCCTTATCTTTCATCGTGTTACTAAGTCAGGAAATCTTTTTACTGATTATCGTTTGTAAATAAAGTTCAAAAGGTTAATAAATTGTCTATTAATAACCGA